TGTGTGTACATTGTTCTCAATGCTCTATACGCAGATCGACACCCACATCCACCCGTAAAAGCTGAGAGCTAACTTATATATCCTGTTATTGTTTTGTCGTGTATTCATGTGTTGTACGATCTATCTTTTTTGCAAAGAATATATTCTTTTAACTAAGTAATAATATAAGATCGTTGAATTTAATATTCTGACATATATTGATTAACTTAATTTTTCAATTATACAGTTAATGACAAGTAACGTGCAATCTATTTGTATTTGCACTTTAAGTGTTTTTCTTTTGTCTTCTATAGCTTTGATCGTTGAAAAGAACATTTATATTCTTAAAACCATTTCCGAGTGTCAAATTTATCACGACATAATCGAGGTATTTCTATTACAGACGTATATTCGTACTATGTCATCTTATAGTATTTATTTGCACTCAGACAACTATCCTTTAAATTATTAAAGAAAAACTAATACAAGTGCTTATGTAACTATGTATTTATACTATATATGTCATAGTTGAAAAAGTTTATATTTAGAAATAGTTCTTAAAACTTTTTGTATGTGTATACATCTTGAAAAGTAAGATTTATCGGATAAAACCTACGTGGATGTTAACTGTTTTTTATGCATCATCGTATTATTTGAGAATTATAAAATAATGATGAAAATCACTTGCAGTATCAATCACATACTTTTTTTAATTAGAATACAGAATTTGACATTAAAGTATTACGATGAGAAGATTTATTAAAATATCTCTTTTAACAACTAACTATAGCAAAGGTGACGAAGTTTTTTTTTCCTTTTTCTTCTTATACTGGATAGCATTTTTATATGATAGAAATTCAAATTACTTTTGAAAGCTTTTTATCTTTAATCATTTAGATTAATATCAAATAAATTATATTCAAAATAACACTTTTTATGTGCAAAATAGAATTCATTATTATTGAATATGACTACACCAGTATATCCATACTTTGTTAATGCTCATTATATTACAACAAAAAATGCACTACATGTACGTCACTGTATTGTTTAAATCCTGCTATGCGTGTTTAATAGATGTAACACAATATTTAAAGTAGTCATAAGAAAAACAATTATTCATTCTTTTCTATATTCAAATGCTATACAAGAAAGTAAATCTATGAAATCATACGTTAAATTGTAGATCTATTATGGTTTTTATCAGATAATGTTTTACCTTTTTAATATTTGTTAAAAGTTTCCGGAGAAATTAATGTTATGGAAAAAAGTTAAAGATTAAAATATTACGAGGTATATCTGACAATATACAAAACTTTAAAGAAACCAATTAAATTGTTTGAATTAACTTTGTGAAGGGGTCTTTGAAACATCCTGTAGAATATCTAGGTTGTATAATGAGCTACAGAAAAAGAAAGATGAGTTTTAACATGCACATGTTGTCATGCACATAAAATTTCTTATCTTCTCTTGTTTCTATCTATATTAATATGCTCAACTATTAATAAAACTATGAAAGCATATAAAATATGATGATTTTCCTTAAAATAAATTCGCATATAGTTCCCTATAATTAACATTAAACAGACGTAAAATAAATTTTACTTTTTCTTTTTCTCCATTTGCATATATATAAATATATCTGTTTTTCTAGTTTTTCAAGTAAAACGTCTTTTATCATAATAATCTTTAAGAAAAAAAAATGCCGCAAATAATAAATGACAGTAAGTAATAAATTTTATTTTGACAAAAGAAAATAAATAATTATTTTCTATTTCAAGAGTCAATTGCTGTTGATTGTTTATATTCAAGTAATAATAGTACTAATGCTACATTATTTCGACAAGCTACAATAAATGAATGTAGATTTGCACGATTAGCTGGTTGCTTACTTATTATTATTGCTACTATATCATTTATAATCAATATATGGTCATTATCTGCAGCTAGAAGAAATCATCGTTTTTCTCGTCGTGATATGGGTCTTGTTATTGGGATGTTTCTATCATCATTATGTGTTATCATTATTAGTGTACCATCCGTTGTTTTACAATGTTTTCTTTGTCGTCGTTTATGTATAACATTCATTTGTCGTATAGAAGGTTTTAATTCATTTTTCAATGGTTGTCTTGCAATGTATATGCTTGTTGCATTATCAATTGTACGATATTCAACAACAGCTAATTCATCATTATCAACAAATTTTCAACGTCAACTTGAACAACGAAGTGTACATATTCTTATAATTTGTTTTATTCTTAGTGGTGTTTGGGCTGTACCACCCTTATTTGGTCGTATGAGTGCTTATGCTCCTGAAGGACTTGGTTTTCATTGTGGTCTTGATTGGTTTGATCGATCATTACCTGGTCGAATTTATTTTTTTCTTTTATTTGTTGGTGTTTTCTTTATACCAATAATAATTGTTATTTATGTTAATGTATATATTCAACGTACTATTTATCGATTAACACATTTAAAACCATCTATTTTACTTGAACTTCAACCAAATGATAATGAAGAACGTATGCGTCGACATGTTTCTGATTCATTATATGATAAAGAAAATCGACGTTTACATCGTTTACATGAAGATCGTCGTTTTGTTGTAGCTACTGCCATAAGTGTGGTCATTTATATTATTGCATGGACACCATATAGTATTGTGGCGGTTGCTCAAGTATTTGGCGATCGATTTTTTCTATATAATCCATGGATTATGACAACCTGTGCAGTTTTAGCAAAATTTTCAATGATTACAAATCCAGTTATTTATGTAATGATTCTTAAAGGTCATGATATTGTATCACATATAAGATAATTATAATGTTCATCTTCTTTCTTTTCATTATATTAAAAAAATACGGAACATACAAAGGAGAAAAAACAAACAGGAGATAACATTCAATAGATTCTTTAAGAGGAAGACTTTTTCTTATTAATTATTGTTGTTTTTGGTGTTGTTTTTGTGGATGATGATGGTGGTGGTGTTGTTGATGTTCGACTTTTTTCTTGTTGTCGCCGTAATTCTTTGTAATTTGCCCATGTATCTGTGTAAGGTCGAAATAGAGTTGATATATACTCTTTTCCTATACTCTGAACTCCTTGAAAATCATCTTTTACATCTTTTTTTGTTTTATCCCATCCGCCAGCCCGTTCATATTTACCTCGTTGTTCAATAAATTTATCTTTGCTAGCACTATAAAAATAAGCTGTTAATTGTGCTGCTCGTCGTATTGGATAAGATTCTGATAGACGACGAATTAATTCTTCATTATTTGTTAAATTCCTTAATAATTGACGCCAAGGCATGATAAATCTATTTTTTCTTTCTAGAAAAAAAAGATGTAAGTAAATAATTGTCTACAATATTTGGATATTAATTTTATTTATTTTATTTTAAACCACAAGTTAAAAAATCGGAAATCACAGTGGAATTTTCAAGAATAAAAACTCTATATCTGCACATATGATACGTTTTAATGACAATTTTGACAATCTTTTGTACACAATTTTCCTTTATCTACTCGACATCGACATCCACCTGATGTATCACCACGTCCACCTGGACCCCATCGAGGACCACGAGTCGGCCACTAGAAGTTAAAATATTAGAATAGAAAGAAAAAGAAATTCGATATACTTACGCAAATTTCCATTTTACATTGCGTACATTGTAGCCAATCACAGCCAGATAGTTTTTGTATAATTACTCGACAACCGGGACTAAATATATAATATATAATAAACATGAAAATATGACTAAGTAGCAATACATACCAATACATAGCTTCTCGTCGTTTGATCATTTCCTATTGAGAAAAAGATTTATAATTTTTTTATGATATAATAGTTTTACTTCTAAATGTTCTTGATCTTTACGAGCTGTTGCATCATTCATAGCTCGAATTTTGAGATCTTCTTGATATTCAAGACCTACATACGTATATATATATGTACAATCGATAATAGAAATAATAGATCAATAAAACTTACAATTTTGACCTTCATGCACAGCTACACAAGTCATACATATCCAATGTTTACAACCCTATAAAAAATTCATAAAAACTTATTTTATCAATCAAAACTCAATTGGACATACATCACAATAGACAATATTATTTCCTTGTAATTGTTCAATAAACCACCATTGTCCACAATCTGGTGTAATACAATGAAAAGTTTTATGTCGACTTTCTGCCCAACGAACACCAATTTCATTTAATTTATCGACTAA